ACTGATGTTGTCATGCTTTTGTGGGTTTTTATCTAAATCACCAAGTTCCTCAAGTAACTTCCAGAAACACTTAGGATTAGACTCCTTAAGCATAATGATTCTATTACATAAATTAGCTTTATATTCCTTTTCCATGTACCATGACCCTCCACCTCTAGGGTCTATGCATGCACCATGACCCATCACTTCTTGGGTCTACACATTAACCATGGGGTCTTCTCTTTTAGGGTCTACGCATGCACCTCGACCCTTCACCTCTGGGGTCTATGCATTAACCACGACCCTTCACCTCTAGGGTATACACATTAACCATGGACCATTCTCTTCTAGGGTCTATGCATGCACCATGACCCTTCAACCCTAGGGTCTATGTATGCACAATGACCCATCACCTCTAGGGTCTATGCATGCACCATGATCCTTCACTTCTAGGGTCTATACATGCACCATGACCCTTCACCTCTAGGGTCTTGCATCCATTATGACCCTTCACCTCTAGGGTCTACACATTAACCATGACCCTTCATTTCTAGGGTCTATGCATGTACCATGACCCTTCACCTCTGGGGTCTATGCATCCACCACGACCCTTCACCTCTAGGTTCTACACATTAACCATGACCCTTCATCTCTAGGGTCTATGCATGAACCTTCCCCTCTAGGGTATATGCATGCACAATGACCCTTCACCTCTAGGGTATATGCATGCACCATGACCCTTCACCTCTAGGGTCTATGCATGCACTATGACCCTTCACCTCTAGGGTCTATGCATGCACCATGATCCTTCACCTCTAGGGTCTATACATGCACCATGCTTGACCCTTCACCTCTAGGGTCTATGCATGCACCATGACCCTCCACCTCTAGGGTCTATGCATGTACCATGACCCTCCACCTCTAGGGTCTATGCATGTACCATGACCCTTCTCTTCTAGAGTATATGCATGTACCATGACCCTTCACCTCTAGGGTCTATGCATGCACCATGACCCTTCACCTCTAGGGTCTATGCACGTACCATGACCCTTCACCTCTAGGGTCTATGCACGTACCATGACCCTTCACCTCTAGGGTCTATGTATGAACCATGACCCTTCATTATGCATGAACCTTCCCCTCAGGGTATATGCTTTAACCATGGATCCTTCACCTCTAGGGACTACGCATTAACTATGTAACCTGCACATCTTGGGTCTATACATGCACCATAATCCTTCACAGCTTTGGTCTATACATGCACTATGGATCCTTCTGCACAGAGAAGACAGCAACAATTATGTTAAATTTTATGCAAGGTCTGTCAAGTGATAGAATGCAAAATGTAACTGTGTCAAAACAAGAATTTCATGATATAATAGCAGAAACAGAATATCCATGCAATAACTGTTAATTTTTGTTTGTTATTTATTTATTTATTCATTCATTTATTTATTCAGATGAATTAAAACAACACTGTACAATATAGAAATAAAATAAAACTTTACAAGGTTATTAAACAAATCACAGATTGCATTCAGGACATAATCAAATTTAAATCAGCTTCTCATCAAAGGACATAAGAATTATAGATGGAATAGTCCATATAGTTGGAATTAGGGAAGTACCTTTCAGACACACTAGTAGAAAGTATGATTGGTACAAAACTAATGCTAGAAGATGTGGAAAGCACTGATTCAAAGACCAATTTACATTTAAAATGGACAATTTACATTCAAAATGATCATGCAACTTTACAAATTATAAAGTTACAAGTTATAAAGATTACTAGTTGTTAACTAGTATACATACTTCAATTAATTTTTATTTGTCTGTGTAATTGTGTACAGTCTACTGTGATTGGTCACAATACGATAAATAATTTTTAAGATGAGAATATATTAATCTGCACTGTAAGTATTTGATTAGTATAGGGCAATTCAATTAGTATAGGACAATTCATTGCTGTCAATAAATTATTTCTTGACACAACATTTGAGGATAATACCAATAGATGTCTCCATGAATGAGAAATTTGTATTTGCCTTTAATTGCATTGAAACCGTCATTGACATTACCAATTTTGTATTGTTATCAAAATATATGTATTTTAATTGAATTTATATACAAATTTTCTGTCCACCACATTGAACCACAATGCAGCAGATGACTCAGCGACTTGGTACAGTTTTGTAGGGATTCAAGATTCCTTTAGGATCCATTAATTTCTTCATATCTTGCATCAATTTAATAGCCGAGTTTGATTTACTATACTGAATATAATTCTTCTTTTTAAACCCCAGTCCATGCTCTGCGCTTATACTCCCAGAATGCTTTGCAACCCATTCATAGACAAATGGTTCTATGCTGGCTAAGAGTGTAGGACTATGAGTAGGAGAGGTGATATTGAGATGGAGGTTGCCATCACCAACATGACCATAACCAACAACACGAGTTGCTGCATCTCCAACGCGGTCACGCATATCTTCAACAATTTCGTAAAATTGGTCTTGTGGTAATGTGACATCATATTTGTAAACTGTCCCATCATGCATTAATGCTTCAGCAATGCTCTCCCTTAAAGACCATATATTCTGAAAAAATAACATAATGTTATCGTTCAACAAAACTCATCTCCCCCTCACTTCATAAAATGTACCCTCCGTCATCACTATTTCCTTTTTCTTCTACTCTCTTCCTTAAACCCTTCCATCATCTCAAGGTCTGTCTGCTCTTCTTCCATCACATATCTGTAATCTTTCTCCTTCTCTACCAACCTGATCTCCTTTTTCCTTGCTTCATTTCATTCATCATTGTAACTACACACATTATATCAACAGTTTTTAGCAGTAAAAAAGAACCACATCCACCTCTGTCTGCTTTGGCTCAAAAAAATAGATTTTTTGATAGCAAAGCAATGAAAAGTGGCAGAGGAAACTGGGAAAGGCAGTGATGGTGACTTTATCCGAAATTTATATTTGAACAGAGGTGGCAAGACTGTATAAACGATGCATTTTACCCACAATGCTATGCTTAGTGTTGCACACAGTTGTGGTGACTACTAGTCTTTAATGGGCGGTGGTTGTTGCACAGCGCGTGTTCAAATTTCGTGTAAACAAAAAGTATACTTTACATGCATCGCGTACGTTGCTATCAGTCCCATATCGAATAGAACATGGCATGACGATCACTACCTTTTAATCATTTACAGTGTACATGTATTAATAGAATATTACCAGTAAATACCTTAATCTTTGATATATCGGTTGCCACGGTGCCATCAACAACATGACCAGTCTCCATGACAGTCTCCAGAAACGTATTCAGCTTCTCCTCATCATGAGCAGCATTGGATCCAGAAGTTTCCACAAGTACATAAAACGGATAATCGCTAAGTGGATTTGTCATATTCAGATATTTCACATTTATCTAATAGACATTATATTAAAAAAAAATGTCTTACAAGTTCGACAGATCGAGAATGTATGATACATTTTATATCACCTCAATAATGGGATAATTTCACTGAAAGATGGAGAGAGACTCTCCCAGCACTTTATAGAGAGTATACAGCTGTTATTAACTGGAGGAAGTTGAAGATGCTTATATTCAGCAAATATTAGTTAACTAGGTAAGTAACTCAAGTTGTGTGAATAAAATAATTAATTACTAAATTACCAAAACTGTGCATGTTTTCATGTCACATACATACACATACACATAGACATGCTAACCGCAAGAACTCTCATTGTGTGCTTTTCACAGGGAAGTCAAATACAGAAACGTTTCAAGAGAAATATTCTGGTAATCCTGATCAAAAAATTACATGCTTATGTCAACTGGATGTAACTTACTTTCATGCACTCATGATCTAGGAATTCGTAAGCTGACAAAACTTCTTCTAGCATTCCTTTAGCATCTTTAAATGTAGCTAAGACATCATCAAAAGAACTGCATCCTGGGTAGTATATATATACATGAATAGTTTTAGTATTGACGCGCAACTGTCAATCAATGAATTAGAAAATTTAGTTTTGTACAAACAATACTTAGCTAAAGCACACATATTATCTTCACCAGCCATATAATCAAGGAATAAAGGCTGCCATGTTGGCCATTTATGTGATAACACAACCAGGATGGCTATATATAATGGGCAAGTCGTGGTTGTGTAAAATTAATATTTTAGGAAACATTTCCATCCTTAAAAGGCGTTGGTCGCCATGCAGTGACTGTTCAAATTTCATGTAAACAAACAATGTATTTTACATTCATTGTATATTTTACTTAAATACACTCAAACAAAAAATTAGAACGAGCAGCAAGTTCATGTTTGCATGGTCACGTTGCGTTGATTTCAATATGGGTCCCATGAGATATATATACAATGCATGTAAAATGCATTTAATCGTGTGATGCACAATAACAGAAAAGTATTTCAATTTTATTTAATTTTTATTTTATGATTGCCTAGAGCCAGAAACCATGAAAACTAGCAATGCACATTTCAATTAAAGATATCATTACAAGATGAACAAATCTGAGAGAGGTCTACCTGAGATACCTATGTGTATAATATCAATGCAATTGGAGAATATGACTTTTTACCAAAAATTACAAAAATATTCACCAAAATTAGAGAATTAAAGATATCATCATGAAATGAACAAATCTGAGAGAGGTCCACATGTAGTACCTATATATGTAATATCAAAGCAATTGGACTTGCGGTTTTCAACAAGAAGTCGAAAATATCACTTTTTACCAAAAATTACAAAAATATTCACCGAAATTAGAGAATTAAAGATATCATTACAAAATGAACAAATCTGAGAGAGGTCCACATGTAGTACCTATATATGTAATATCAAAGCAATTGCACTTGCGGTTTTTAACAAGAAGTCGAAAATATTACTTTTTACTAAAAATGACAAAAATATTTAGAGATATCATCATGAAATGAATAAATTTAAAAGAGATCTGCCCAAGGTACAAATACACCAAGTATCAAAACAATAAGAATTGTAGTTTACAAGAGGTCAAAGTTGAAAAAGTAAAAAGTGGACATGGATGACGACAGACAATCAATCATAGTCGACAGCGGAGATAACATTTTGTTTAAATCTAAAGTTAGTTTAAAAAAATATACAAATTTACACATGAGGTTGGATCTGCCTCTGCATGTATCCATGACAACCAAAGCATACCATCCATATACTCACCAAGGAATGCTACATTGACAGACTTAGGTCTTCTTGGACATAATATAGATACTTTTGTTACCATACCTAGGGTGCCTTCTGAACCTATAAATAGCTGTTTCAAATCATACCCAGTGTTGTCTTTTCTCAAGGAAGATAGGCAGTCAATTACAGTTCCATCAGCAAGCACCTAGTAAATACATTGATTACAGAAGTGAATGATACCACCGCAAGAGGGCGCTGTATATAACTTGAATACCCCATGTATACATGGGTCAAGCCATAGATGGCAACCACTGTCAATCCGAGGTATTATCTTATTTGAAAAAAATTAAAACAAGTATTAATCAAGTAATTAGGTAAATAAATTTGAATATGTGATATGGGAATGATTTCTTAGAAATCATTATTGCAACAAGTTATATGCAAAATAAATGAAAATGCTATTTAATGTCAGAGATTTTATATTCATAAATTTAATTTTAATTTAAGAGAAAATAAAATTTTGTTGCTATGAATTTTGTTTTTAAACATGAAAAACATTTTGCAGCAGTCAACATTCTACTAAGATTTTAAAGACAGTACGTCATGGTGACAGTTGGAAATTTCAATCACCACGAAAGTTGTTTACTCTCAACATCACATCCACTATTCCGCTGTTCTACGTAAACATGGTATTTTGAATAGTGGACTCAATAACGAGAAAAAAAGAACACTTTTTGATGGGTAGGATCTCGTAGCTCTCTTTCTCTCAATGAGATCTCTTGGCCATTTGTGTCAAAGATTGAAATTGACAATTTTTTAAACACAACATTTTATATACATGTACTGTAGAACACTTTATTTTGGCTGGAATTAATTTTCGCTGAAAAGGCTTTTTTGGTGTTATGTATGGAATTTATTTTCACTGATTTTTGATGAGTTGAATGTGAAATATAGGAAAAAAGGTATATTCACTCAATCATCCCTTCAGCGAAAATAGCGAAAATAAATTCCAAGCAAAAATAAAGTATTTTACAGTAGTAATGAAAGTGCTACATTAGGATCTCATTATTGGTTTCTAATAGAAATATATTAACACACTAGAATAATTTTCTTCTCAACATTAACACCAAAATTGAAGACATTCTGAAATATTTTATATAGCTTACTGCCTCAACTCCCAAGACACTCCCATGCAGTGATCCATATCTCAATAACCGAATGCCACCTGCATTTGTTGACACGTTTCCACCAATGTGACAACTCCCTTTTGCACCTAAGTCTAACGGCATAGTAAAACCAAAGTCAGCTACGTAGTCATCCAACTTCTCCAAGATACACCCTGCTTGACACGTCAGTACTCCTATACAGGTCATACAAAAAATACTGTAATGACTGACAAATGTTCATGGATTTTGCAAATCAGTGAAAATTTTTAATTTTTTAGCAGTGAAAATTTATCTTGGGTCCAACAAGAAAGTGATAGCGACTCACACAATATTTTATCACCACGAATGCGATAAAATCATTAAAATTCTCAGCAGGGAAAGTTTCAGCGAAGGTTTCCAGTATATTGGAGGCAGAAGTTATTACACCGAAATTTGACGTTCACTAGTTGATACGAGAGATTCATTATTATAACTTTTTTATAAGATGTCAAAATAAACATTGCTTTTTAATTTTTTTTTTAAAGATATTAAACAGTAAAGGCACTAACATTGAATGGGTTGCAATATCCATTCCCCTCAGGTCTCCAAATTGAGGTTTTATCGGCTTCAAAAAAGGTTTTGCACAAATAGTTACTCAACAAAAAATAACTATAACACAAAGTGCACAGAATCTGATATTTTCTTAGTCGCCCACCTCAGATTATACACGTAATTATACATGTCTTACACATTAACACTTGGGTGTATCCTGTCAAGTACTTACAACTGGCATACCTACAACCATGCAGTTACAAGCTTTCCCACAGACAGGCTTTTAATTAAGAAAACAAATTTATTTTTAACTTTTATGTTGTTTTCAATCTGAATATAATATGATGTATTTTTTTTATGAAACTATCGACTTTCATGATTACCAAAACTTTAAAAAACTAAAAACAAATAAATAACAAATCAAAATTAAAGAAAATCAAAACAATAAAACATCTTATTTTAATCAAATTGACATTGTTGCTTGTATTTGCTGATTTTGATGGTGGAATAATTATAATGCTATTAAAATTATACTGCTATGACATGATGAAGTTCTAAAACTGTGATGTGACTGTATATTGTCTGAGTGCATTCTTGGATGTATCTTGAAATAACCTTTAGTTATTAATATACATCTTTCTGATCCAACCATTTGGTGTAGGAAGCCCAGAACTGAGCAAATTTTTCATTAGCAACATGAACATAGCAAACATGTTTTTGAAATATCTTGTAATTATAATTACCATTTCCTTAAGATGGAATGTAGATATATCATGCAGTACTGTACACTTATGACATGCTTATAGACTTAACCTAAGAAGGTGATAAATGTATAATATTTTAAGAATATTCTAACCATTTTACCTGAGAGTTGGTCCACACCAATTATTTCATTCATTAAATCAGTTGAAATGATAATTTCATCAAATACAGGAACACTTCCACCGACCAATCCAGTATTGCCACCCTGTGGTACCACAGCTAAGTTACGTGAATTGCAGTAAGACAAAATGTCAGAAACTTCTTCTGTTGTCTTCGGTTTCAACAGAACTTTACTGGACCCTAGAAAAAAAAAGTCTTGTGAACTTATTTTATATTACTAAAAAATGATTTAAAATTAAATGGGACACAATTTAAATCACCACCACCGTCATGCAATGTGCATTCAAATTTTGTGTAACTAAGCAAAATATTTTATACGAGTTGTATATGATGATGCATGAGACCCATATCAAATACAATGTGGCGTAATGACTATGCACATTAAAGAGCGGTAGTTGTCGTGCCGTGCATGTGTGACATTTGTGTTGATAAACATTGATTTTCCCATAATCCAATGCACTTTTCTAATTAAATCGCGAGTACGAGTTTTGCCCTGGTCGCCACTTGCACTAATTACCACCGACAACTCCTTTAATACCTTCCAAACACACACACAAAAAAACTAATTAAAGCTTGGTATGTACTCATTGGTATGTGCAACAGTCATCATCTTTGTTTATATGAGACCCACATAGTGCGCATGTGCAGCGCAACGACTACTGCCCTTTAACCTCAAATAGCAAAGCAATACTAAAATCCATGATTAACTGCATAACTCACTGATTTATTCTACTACTGGTAACACCTGAGTGGGACAAAACGATCACTTGGCATGGTCACAATTGGATGGTTACAGTGAGTGTATAGTAATTATATTATGATTGTTTCCCCGATAAACACTGTGTGATGTTTACAATAGTGCAACAAAAACTAGTGTGCAAACAAATACTGGCACCCACATTAACTGCAGCTGCATTGTAATCTCATGCAGAATCAATGCAAATCTAACCCAATGGTAGAAATGCAGGGAGATCAGCTTGGGAGAGAATATCACTCT